TTTTAAGTAGCCACTAATCAATGGGAATCGAACCCGTGCTATTTGCTCCGATACAACTGTAGCGCACCTTATCTCTCTCCCCTTAAGCCAACTGGAAAAGGGGCAATTGCTTGATGAGAGAGCCCTTAGTGGCTATTTTATCCCCATTTATCCCCCAAGGTTCCAAGGATCCATGGTGACAGTATATCCAAATCTCATCCCATGATCACATGCGCTACAGCCAGGCCGAGTATGCTCAGCTAGAAACACATAGGAGTTCCTACCTTATGTCCATCTGGCTAAGTACAGGTGCTAAGCTCAGTAAACTAACACTTGAACATGAGGGGCTGATAAAGGGAATCAGCAATACTGACCTCTTGCCATTGTAGCAGTAAGGAAAGAGTGTCTGTAAGGATTGGCCGATAGATAACTTTCGATACCTGAAGTTATATTCGCGACAAATATGTATATGTTATTGGGGTATAAATTTTCATTGGTGCTTCATTATATAAAATTTTATATGATATAATATGATATTGTCAATAGAGTTGAGTTTAGATTTGTATTATCATGAGCTATTGATGCTAAGTTATGGGATCAATACTTCATAAGTATTCTTCCACTAGTTCAAGTAGAGTTTACTGAACACTTAGGGTTGCATATAAGTGGGACAATAACTATACTATAACTCTTATCATCATCTATTTATAGAGTACAAAGTGGATGATTTAATATTGGTTTATTTTCCAAATTTTATAGTATATGGTTTATTTAAGGGGCTTCTTGCTTAGTAAAAAGGATTATATTGAGTATTGTAGTAAGTTTGACTACAAGTTTATAAGGCTTGACACTACATTCAATAAACCTATCTTCTAAAAGTTATGCATGTGCAATGGCTTAAACATTTCATACAGAAGGATTAGGAGTAAATTTATACATCCACTAATACCTCTTTCTAATGTTGCTCAAGATTTTGGCCTATCAACCAAGAGACTCTAACTACCTTCTAATTTTTCTAAAGGAGGGGATGATCTAAGGTCTAGATGTAAAGCTACAATGCTATATACTAATATTAACATAGTGGATTTTGATAATTATTAAATTGGTTTCAATTTGGACCACTGTATAAAAGCTAGGGTTTTTAGGCTAAATAAATATGTATTCCATTCTATACACACATAAATTGTGCTTAATATTTATAATTAATGGAGTACTCAAGATTATTATTCCTAGTAAATCATAGTTTGTATAGAATCTCAATGATATCTTTCTTTAATCCTTGTGCTCAAGCAACAATTAATCCCATTCAAGAGTATTTAGAAAAAAAAAACTCAATACAAATATAAATTCTGACTATAAAAAAGATTATATACTATGGTTGAGATCTTTGGAACAATAGATGGTTGATGACTCTTGTATAGGAAAATTCTAGTGAGAGATGGCTCACCCAAGAGCAAAAGCTGAGCATTATATTTGGCATAATTGATTGATTGAATATGACAGCTTAGGAAATATATTTTTATTACCTCCATCTTTATGTTGTCTAGAATTTTATTTTAGAAACTTGTAGTTAAGTAGTATATATAAAAAAATCTAAGACAATGAAGCAAGATTCAAAATGCCACAAGAATATTATCCTTATATACTTTCAAATTTAAGATTATTTAGTAAGAATGAGTTACATATGATTTTAAGAATTGATAAATATAAATTAATTTTTCCTCACAGCATTACTATATGGTACAGAAAATTATTAGCAAGAAAAGTATAGAGAATACTAAAATCCCTTAGAGAGGAGTCTTTAATTTTACTTTATTAATTACATTATAATAATTATATATTATATTATTTATATTTAATTTCTTTATTTTCAGTATTTCTTTTTCCAAATGAACATCCATAAAACTGTAGTTACCATAACAGAACGAATGTTATTAATCATGGTGTCATTGCTTGTTATAAAGCTGTATATTTGCAAATAAATATCTATAGTTGAATTCCTATATAAGAGTTGAATAGGGAATAATACAATATGATACACATCAAGTAATAAATAACTTAATTTTAAATATCCAAATATACCATCTAAAAACCAGTCACTATGAGTTCATACTACAATATCATTTATAATTAAATCACCTGATAATGTAACTGGATTGTAAAGGCCATACTTTTTTATAATATTAATCTCTGTAAAACAAGTACATTAAAAGTAAAAAAATGTTACGTGTATTTACCTGTTATATTGTGAGGTAATAAATCCCCTGGTTGCTCATCCAAAGCTAATAATATATCAGCTAAAGTAATATCATTTACATATTTATAAAATATTGATTTTGAATCTAAAATAGAGTATTAGAATAGTAATTAAGAATTCTTACTTTTAGTTGGTATGAAATACAATGTGGATAAGTCAATACTCTTATTATTCTCAGTATTAATATGGATAAATTCATCATAAGCCACAATATCTTTATGATATCAGCTTGCCATCTCTATTTCAAATTGAAACCTAATTACAATAGTTAAAATTAAGATTAAGTGACCAAGGTCAATAATATTACAGACCTTATCTCCTATAGAAATATCCTTTATTTTTCGTCTTTTACCATTAGAAAGTCTTAAGATAGCATCCTCGATATTATAATTATGAATTTATATGATAAAGTAAACCATACCTGGAAAACATTTTTTGTTTTTAACACAATTAGAATCTTTGCAGTGATGACCTGAAATACAATCTGAATCTTTTGTACATGGATCAAGTTGAGATTTAGTAAAGGACATAAGACATATAATTAAAAACCCATAAATAAAGAAATTACTCATTTCTTAAGTGTATAAGAAAATTATTACAAGATAGAAGCCTTATATAAAGAATATATCATTAATTTTCGTTTATATTCTTGTAATTTTTTTCACTAAGTCAACTTCATTGTCGTATCAAAACTCCAAATATTCAAGCATATTCTAGAATATTTTTTAATCTAACAGTTATGATTTTATCCATTAAACTTACTCAATGTTTACTGCTATATTACAAATGACATCCCCTCCTTTTCCACATACTATGAAAGTCCTAGCTAATATATGTGACCAAAATAGGTGTATCATAGTGTAGTGATGTTTATATTTATAAAAAGTTTTAACACAAGAAGAGTAGTGTAGCTATACTCCTAGTTGATTGCTCAACTAGCCAAGATGTAACAAGCCAAGTGTTGGTGATCACTATCCCAGTTATATACAATAAGCCTACTAATGTGAATTTTGGATTTTATGGTTTTTTTTATGTTAAATGCAAATTAGTGTATGGTTATCCATGTGGTAACTTTTGTATGTAAAAAATTATGTGAAAACTATATAGAGTGAAAAATAACCATATGATTATATAAGAAAACAAGTATTAATCTCCTCTGGATATCCTTCAATAGTGAGAAAAAAGCTTTAAAATATATATGGAACTTTTTTTTTCTGCTTCTTTCATGTTTTATGGTAGTCAACTAGAAATTACAGCTTTTGGAATTGTACGAGAAGTGTGTAAGGAATGTCCAAAGAATGAGAAACTGTACACAAATAATGTATAGTTTGGAATTATTTTTGGTTTGCTTAAGCAGGGACTGAGATGGTAGTGAATATACCTAGAATATTCTTGGATATTCTAGGATATTCTACCATCTAACAGTTATTATTCATTTAAATTAATCTTGTATTTATAAATTATACACTTATTTATAATTTATAAAATTTCTTAAGCATTTCTTAGTATATTTTATTTTATTCTACCATCTAATGGTTGATATGCAATAAGATTAATCATGTGTTTATAAATTAAAAACATGCTTATAATTATAAAACTTATTTAATTGATTGGATTAATAAGTAAGAATAACACTACTATTAAGCAAACCAAACATTATTACATGCAATGCATAGAAATTTATTCACTGAGACATTGTTTAAAATGATTATCCAAATAGTTTTCTAGATCTCGTACATTATATAGTTTTTTATATAGATTATAATGTGATCAAATATTCCTAGCACAGACCATTTAATCCACACTAGAGCTGAATTCTTTTCATGCCCAATTCCCATAATTTTCCATTATAAAAGTTGTACAATGATATCTTTACTTCTTGTTGCCAAAACTATTATAAGACCATAGCAATCAGTTTCAAGTTGCAAAAAAATGATTTCTTTAACTTATGCATGCTTAAAAAGTTTTTTCTTGTCTATGTAAGTAAATAAAAGATTTAACATCACTCACCAAGAATTGCACGATGGATCTTCTATATATATAAGTTAATCCAACTTAACCAAGTAAGTTAACTAACTTAACAATTGGATCCAACTTAACCTTGATAACATTGGCAATCCTTCTGTTTGCATGTGAATTTATTTATGTGCATTTGTGCAATCTTGGCACCATATGTCAATTCTTCTAATCTTAGTTAATTAAGAATTTCTCACTAGCTTTTCTTCTTAGCACAGACAGGTCATAGAAGATAGGTTTTATCTCTATGATTTAATAATTTGTTATGCATTGCATGTAGCAATGTTTGGTTTGCTTAATAGTAGTGTTATTCCTACTTATGATCAAATAAAAGTTTATAATTATAAACATATTTATAATTTATAAACACAAGATTAATTTTATTGCATATCAACCAATTAGATGGTAGAATAAAATAGAATATACTAAGAAGTGTTTAAGAAAGTTTATAAATTATAAATACAAAATTAATCTAAATGAATAAGAACCGTTAAATTGTAGAAAATCCTAGAATATTCAAGTATATTCTAGGTATATCCCAGTCCTAGATTTGCTTAAGCAAACCAAAAAGTTCCAAAAATCTATTTTTTGCCTCTCTTGCCAAACTACACTACTATAAATGGCATATATTCCATAAGAGGCCAGGAATTTTTTACCTTTAACTTTGTCAACATAATTCCAGTGATATACTGGTGGGGGGAGTTGTTTCCACTCATCACCTTTTTAAATGCAAATGAGATTGTAGGCATTACACAAATCAATCTTGTAACATTTGTTTTATGAAAATAAATTTAAACAAATCTTTAAATCTTAGCAACCTTGATGAGATCAAGAGGTGGTAACTCCTCATCCCGTTATCCTTCATGAAGGGATCAAGAGGTGGTAGCTCCTCGTCCCGATCTAGCTTTTATCCTTCGTGACGGGATCACCCAATCGTCCCCGTTTTGTTCCTCCAATCCTTGAGTTGGATCCGGGCACGGCTTTGTTCGCCAGCAAGCATAGTAAATCCCAGCAAGAGCAACAGCTAGAGCAGCCATGGATCCTACAACAATACCAATTGTCTCGCCAATCCTGTAATGCTTTCCCAAAGAAGAAGTCGCAGTGACGTTACTGCTAGAACAGTTTGCTCCGCAACATATAAAGTCAGCCATTGGTGTGGAGAACTCCTGTCTTGGACAGATTGGAGTCAGCGAACCAGCAAAATCACACCCTGTGGTTGCCTCTAGAACCTGTGAAACAAAGGATTATAAATAAGATCATTCTCTGGAAGATTGTCAAAGCTTACTGGGTGAGAACTTTTCAATGTGAGAGGTTTTTGCTCTAGAGATGGACCCGGGCTTCTCTTAGAGACAGCCTCTTGAACGACTGCAAGACCCAAGCTGTTGATGAGATCGTCGGTGACAATATCGATGCAGGCAACTCCGATCAATCGTTGGGTGGCATCAAAAGCTAGAAAACAAAGTTACAATACCCAGAAACACCGTTTTCGTGGTTTTCTTTTTACCTGGCAAGATCGAGCTTGTAACATTGCGACCACCTGAATCAGCATATAATGGCACCCACACTGGCTTTCTGTTGACACTGCTAAAACGGAGCCAAGCTAAATAGTCCAAGTAGCTGCGTATCTTCATGAGAGGATTGGTTTCATCTTTTACTGCTTCGAAGCTTATGTTGAGGCTGAATTGCATTCTCTGGAAAGTTTCATCGTTGGAAATGTAGAAACCAATCCTGTACACGAAAACGACAACGTTTTTCTCGTTAAGCTGCTTGAAGATTGGATCTAAATCCGTCAGGTTGACATGGTTGGCAAATTGGCCATCTGTTAAGAGGAGTATAACCTGGAAAATTGTTGCAATTAACTAACGAAAGAGCTCGAGTTTACGTACATTCAAGTTTGAGCTTGAGTTGAAGAAGTCAAGAGCCCCGACGAATGCTTTCTTAATATCGGTTTGTAATTTGTCCGCTCTTGCATTGCTTATTGCGTTTTTGAGAGCTGAGATTCCAGCATGATCGAAGGATGTCTCCAAGCCCTCAAGTGAAACCGAGACCTGGAAAATGAAAACTCATAGAAATTAATAAATAATAGGATGAGATACTTACTGGTTTTCCTCCAAATGGTTTGCCTCCATTCATATCTGACACAATTACTTGGTCCCCATTGGTAAGAGTGTCGAGAAGCTCGTCCAGAATCCCCTTGGCCACTGCTAGGCGGCTTTGAGATGACAAAGGGCCGATGGAAATGCTCATGGACGACGATGTGTCTAAAACAATGTAGAGTGATTTCACCACCGCCAAGGCATGCACATACCATGGCCTTTTCCTTGGATCATAGACTTTGCATTGATGATCGTCGGTATAGTCCTAAACCATAGTACAGATGGAGATTAAATAAAATCATGGAGCTTACCCTGCCTGGATAGATGTACAAGTATCCTTCGGCGCCTCCAAAAAAAACCCAGCCATGACAGACTTTGCTGGTGCTTTTCCATGCGAGTTGAAGTTTACGATCCAGGGACTTTTGGGCACAGATAGCAATCTTAACATCAGTGTCACTCTCCAATGCCGATGGTGAGAGCCTGTGAAAACCCCAAAGAAGTTCTGTGACAGATCAAAAATGGAGAGAACCTAATGTATGATCTCTTGCTCGAGACGCTCAAGCTCTGGCATGTCCCATTAGTCGGAGTGGAGCAATCTAGATTATGACCCACATTGACGCACGAGAGAGATTGGATCTCATCCCTGGACTGCGGTCTACAAGTGTGCCTTGAGCAATTTTCGATTGTACATTGGGATAGAGATCCTGAGACGAGAAACGATCAATCAATAATACTAGCATTCTTGTGCAGCTCTTTACTATACCGCAAGCATTCTCCCGATTTGAAATGGCCTGCCTAGCAATCTCTTGTACCTGGAACGCTGCTTCATCCAGCACGGCTTCAATGTCGCCCAGGGAATGCGCATGAAGGTACAAAAGTGCCACAAAAACTAATCTGGAAAGAAGAACCATTGCTCAATCTTTCATCTCATGTGTGATTGTTTGAAGAACATCCTTTCTGCCTGTTAGAACTCGAAGGCAAGGAATTAAGCGAGTGAAGGAGACCCGAATTTAATGCCATTAATGAAGAAACAGGACCGACAAAATCAGCAAAGTTTTTAAACGACAGTGCATATTCCGTGTCTAAGTTAAGAGATTCTCGAATATGCTTACTCTAATAATCTTTCTATTATTACTGCTCCACTTGTACCTTATAAATGGCGGGAAATGAGCCCTAGGGCGGCGGACAAAACAAGTGAGGCCACATTTCTTTTCTCTTCTTTGATGCTGTTTAGGTCAGTCAATCGCTACAGTGTCGCCAATGGATCGCTCGCCAAAGCAGCGCTGCGTTGAATTCCTGATTAGTCCTCGATTTGCCTCAAATGTGCTGGTTTTCGTCCTGGCAGTGACAGCCGCAGCGTCTGGGTTCATCGCCAATCTCACGCGCAATCTCAAGGCGGCGGGCGCTCCTACAATCTTCTCGGAGATCTCCGAGTATTCCAACCTGGTAAGGTGGTTCTTTCTTTTGCATCATCGGCTCACAAAATTTGTTCTTGGCAGAGAATTTTGAGGCAGGCAATTGAGAGAGCGAAGCTCAGGGATTTTATGTCCGACCATGAGAAGTGCCTCACTCTCTTTGCACCAACAGATAGTGCTTTCGAGAGTGTTTTGCACAAAAGGCTTCTTCCGTGCGTTACAAACCACTACAACGTGAATCGTTGTTTGTCTCTCGATCAGCTCCTCTCTTCTACAAGCCTCAACAAGTTGCTTCTAAATCACGGTGGTGTTTTCTTTTCGTCCTTTCTCATGCTCAACTCTTCTTTCAGTGGTCGATGGTAATTTGTCACTGGATAGTTCTGCAAAGGAGTCATTTCTTCACTTTCTCGGAGACTCTGTGGAAAAGGTATGGATTTTTCCTTTGCTTTTGTGGTTGGAGTAAGTGTTGCTTCTGATTCTCAGCTCGTTAAGAATGAGACTGGCCATGCAAGCATTGGAAATGCTGCTGTTATCGTGGCAAACGTACGTGTTGGAAACGGAATGATGCATCTGATAGATAATGTATTGGGAAGCGTTGATCCGGAAAGTGGTTTATCCTCCGATGTCTCGCTGGATGCTGAGGCTGTTTTAAGCGCTCTCAAACTCACAGATGCCGACTTTTTCAACGTTACAAAGGTTGGGAATCAATATCTTTTATTTTCTGGCTAACGTTAACTGGTTCTACGGCACAGAGGCAAGAAATGGCCGAAGGAGCCAAAGCCTTGAACATTCCTGGCTTTCAAAAGAATAGGAACCAGGTTGGTTATCCGGATGGCGGACTAACGAATGCCCCCGTGCTAGTCTTTGATCCAAGTATGAACGAGGCAGACTTTACGGGTCCGGACACGAAGTTTTCCTACCCTTCACTTGCTGCAGGCATTACTCGGCCTTCTACAGACGAGGACCTCGCTTTCATGACCGTAAGTTCTTGCAAGAATGTTCTGGTTTCCATCTAACAGCGTGTTTTCTTTTCTTTTTGTACAAGATTCTCGAGCTCGGGGCACTCCTCAAGAGCAAGAAGGTGACCTCAGTGGAACTTGTGAAAGTTTTTTCTGAACGCCTGAAGAGGTAATCCGAACTCTTCTACGAAGGCTAGACAATGAAGTTTCTTTTGCTACACAGGTATGACAGTACTCTCAAAGCTGTTGTAACATATACAGAGGAGCTAGCACAAGAGCAAGCGTTAGCGGCTGACAAACTACTACAGCAAGGAACTTATCTGGGTTAGCAGTTCTTTTGCGCATGGAAGAAATAGTTAACTAACTCGTTGGCAGGACCATTGCACGGAATTCCTTATGGTTTGAAGGACATAATTGCGGTTCCAGGGTACAGAACCACTTGGGGAAGCACAAGTTTTAAGGACCAGTTCTTCAACGAGGAAGCATTTGTTTATACCAGGTTTGTGATCAGTCTTGCATTGCTGTTAAAGCAAAGAGTTTTGGCAGACTCAAAGAGGCTGGAGCTGTGCTAATAGCGAAACTGGCTACTGGTTCCCTTGCTTACGACGATGTCTGGTTTGGAGGTCGGACAAGAAATCCCTGGAATATTGAGGAATTTTCAACTGGATCTTCTTGCGGACCTGCCGCGGCCACATCTGCTGGTTCGTTGAGTTCGGTGATTTTGCTGGTTTTAGTTTTTTTTGCTTTGCAGGAACCATTCCTTTTGCTATTGGATCGGAGACAGCAGGCTCAATATCTTATCCTGCTGCTCGAACTGGAGTGACGGCCTTCAGGCCAACATTCGGAATGGTGAGCCGATGGCAAATTATGAGCCTATCAGAGAGCCTGGTAAGTATACGTGCTTGTGTGTGTATGTTTTTTTTGTTTTCGGTATTCTAAGTTGGTGTTTGGCAGGATAAGATCGGTCCGTTTAGTAGAAGCATCGAGGATTGTACTATCGTGCTAGATGTACTACGTGGAAAAGATCCTCGCGATCTCTCCTCGAAGAACATCAAGCTAAAGGATCCGTTCTCGATTGATGTGAAGAAGCTGACTGTCGGCTATTTGCCGGATGCAGAGATGGAAGTAAGTGTTCCAAAGCGTTTCGTTAAAAACTTTCTATGTTTCCCAGGTGGTGCGTATCTTAAAAGAGCAAGGTGTGAAGATGGTACCATTCGATCTAAAATACAGCGTCGACTCCGCGCAGCAGATTCTGAACTTCACCATGGATGTCGATATGCTGGCACATTTCGATCACTGGCAGCGCGCTGGCCTGGACGACGCGTACGAAGCACAGGATCAGTGGCCAGTTGAGCTCCGACGAGCGCGTCTCATCTCGGCAGTCGATTACATCCAGGTAGACAAGAACTCCCCTTCGTTCTTCTCGTTTTCTTGTTGTAGCTTCTAACGTATGAACTTTCGCAGGCACAGCGAGCACGTCACAAGCTCATCTCCGAGGTGCTAGAAGCGCTGAAAGGCATCGACGCATTTGTAGGAAACGCTACAGACTGGGAGAAAGTTGCCGTGGGCAATCTCGTGGGAATGCCAGTGGCCATCATCCCAGCCGGCTTGAAAAGCATTCAAAATCCACCGCCGGAAGGAACTCGGCGGAGAACCACAGTGACCGCGGGGATCTATGCCCGACCATACGGCGACTCGGAGGTAAGCAAACAGATCTTTCCAGAGACCATTTATTTATATCGTGAGAGCTTCACAGGTTTTGGCACTGGCAATGGCCTTCCAGAAAGTCACAAAGCATCACCTCCAGCGCCCACCGGTCGACAATGTCAAGCCATAGTTTTGTATGAACGAGAACAAAGTTCTCCCAAGCTCTCAGCTTCCTCGGTAAGTCGTGAAGCTGAAGGGCGACAGCAGCAAAGGGACGTGAAAGTGCTGGAACTCCTGTGGCGGCTTGATGTCAAAGATGATGCAAACGTAAGGATAGAATGGCCCAGCGCCGGCGCTGCTCGCCGTGGAGGAGAGATACTTGCCAGTGTTGAAAGTCAGCCTGTAAACTCCAGCGGCGACTCGCTCCGAGGCTTGCATTAGAGGACCCGAGCGCCCATCCTGGTTTGTCACCGATGTTCCCAGCGGCATCCAAGACGTGTCCTCGAGACGCTCCAGCGAGATTTCCAAGCCGGCAGCTGGTCTTCCCAGCGAAACGTCCAAGACGTGCGTTGTGATTGGGGGGCGGAGAGATGGTTGCGGCTGCTGACCAGAGACGTGAGCTTCGATCTTGCTGAGCCGTCCGTCAGCTTTTGCGTCACCTATAGGAACAGGCACGGCGAGTTTAGTTAAGAGAATGTGGTACGACACTCGAAGCGAAACGAAGAAACAAAAATCTATGTTACCAGTCCGAAAAGTACCAGATTCTTCGCGGCTTAGAGGAGAGCCGAGAGGTTTTTCATGATCAAGTCTCTGCTCCGAAAGGCTCAACTTGGAAGTGTTCTCGTCACCGCCTAGAAACAAGAGGCAAATCTCTAGCTGGATCTGGTTCTCGAGAAAAGATAAAAGACTAGTACATTACCAGGAGCAGTGTTCTGTGAGACGAGCTTTGACAACCGTAGTTCTGTGATCTTTTGTTGTTCGTTTGCAGCAACTTGGAGCTCAACCAAGGGTCTATTTGTGATTCGTCCCTTGAGAAGTAAAACAAAGCTCAAAGCAAAGATCAAGGAAAGAATAGCACACCTTGAGAAGCTGCAAAATTTCCGAGCTACTCTTTCCAGTTGCACAGACAAGGAACACGAAGCCAAATTTTGATTCGTAGAGCCGATTCCACTCGGCTAGATCCTAGAACGTCATATAAGTCCCTATCAAGCTAGCCAACAAAGGATACGAAGAAAAAAGATAGAAAAAGAAGAAAGATTCTCACTACCTTGAGTGCTCGATCATTTGCACTGCTCAGTGCTGTAGCTTGCTCCTCGGCACACCAGCTAAAAAAGATACAAATAAAAGGGATAAGAAAGAAATTTCACGCATTACTCTGTTGTGGACTTGCTGCTGAGCGCTCCAATCCTTGGATGAGCTCCAAAAGCTTCCAGCCATCCAGGAACATCCACCTGCGCTGATAATCCTCAAGATCTCGCCCAAAGGATCGAGCACAGACCTGATTCCACCATATCTGCCGCGACATCTCGATCGCCTCGGCGAGATTCTTGAAAGGCCCGACCTTGGCCATCTCCTTGGCGAATTTGGAGCTGCCGCAGCACGCGATCCAATCGCTCTCGGAGAAATGCATCGCGACAGCCTAGCCAAAATTTCGAGGGTTTAGGTTTTCACATATTTTGCTAGATACCAGAATGACACGTGTCGCGTCGGTATTGGCGCCAGCGGGTTAAAGGTTCTTCGTTTTTAAACTGTTTGGCTATAAACCCTAGGAGGGAAAAATCAGTGTGCGGAATCGCTAAAGATGGACAATCTCGAGGTGGAGGAGAGGATCAGGGAGCTGAAGGCGCTCCAGATGCGCCAGGATCTGGTCCGGGTAGAGAACACGATGCTCACGGAACACCTTGCGGTAAGTGATCTTGAGATTTGGGAGAAGTAAATGCCGATTTCCTGCCCTACATCTCTTGCTCCAATGATCTTGTCTTGAGAATGCTTGGTTGCAAACGTGAAACGAGCTGCTTATCATCTATTCTATCTATGTAATGATCTTGCGTTTGAGATTTGGATTTCCTGCCGAAAGTTCTTTCTCCAATGATCTTTTCTTGAGAATGCTTGCTTGCAAACGTATGAAGAGCTGCTTATCATCTATTCTCTCTTTTTTGTTTCTTCCTCGAGATTGATCATGTCTAACTTCAATGTGGTTTTTTGAGCAGCGTGTGGTGGTGTCTTGGAAAGGAAGCATGGAACTCCACCTGGAGAAAGCCGCAGAGGAGCGTGAAAATAATGGATCGGACTCGACTTCACGGAGCAGCCTATCATCCAGAGGCTCCTCTCCGAGCTCCGCGAGAAGTACCGTGAGGTTTACCGCGGCGGCGGGGCCAGCAGTAGCACCCGAGGCGCCAGTACCGATGAGCATGGAGGAGAAGTGTGAGATTGCTGAAGAAGAATGCCGGTTCCTGGAGCAACACCTTGACAAGATGCGCAGTGAGAATGAACGAGTTCTTGATGACTACCGGGCGATACTCAAGGAGGCAAAGATGGCCATCGCCGAAGTAAGGAAGGAAAAGTCCGACTTTTACAGAGATGTTCTGCTGCTGGCGCAACTCAATCCAGCTAACAAGTCGTATTCACAAGACATTCTCAGGTAAAATTTGGAATCTTTTCTAACTTTTCTCAGCGAGAACCACTCTAAAGATTGAATTGTTTGCTACAGTTTTATTGAAGAGAAGCTTCGAAAGCGGGTGGTGGTCAGGAACTCTATCAAAGCGAAGAACAGCAGCTTACAGGCAGAAATAACGGAGCTTGAAACTCAGTTTGCCTCTAAGAAGGACCTCAAGGACATTCTGCACGTTGTGGATTTCGACCAGATCAAGATTCTAAACCACGAGCTTAATAGTCGTACGAGGGAACGAGATAATGGAATACAAAGCCTCAAAAGTGTGATGAAGGGCTCTATGAAGGTATGTATGGATGTTGGAATAGTGTTCTTCCGCACTTGCTTCTGGTTCCCAGGCTATGAATGAAACTCAAAAGGAGCTAACAAATGCATATGATAGAGGAATTGAGCTCAAGAACTGCCTTCGGGATCGAGTGCCGGTTATAAAGTCTGCCAAGGACAACATTGTCACAGAAAAATCTCAAAGAGTACGTATTTTGCGAGTCCTGTTCTTTCTAAAGCAACACCTTTCAGATGAAGCTCCACGAAGCTGTGTTAACCGCTATCCAAGACCAAGACGGGCCTGTTCAGCCAACCGCTATGGACTATATGCGGACACAAGACAAAGCTGGGAAGCTCTGGAAGGATATTAGGAGATGGGAAGTCAAAGTAAGCTTTTTCCATAACTTTCTCGCCTGTACACAACAAGTATTTGTGTTCCCAGGTGGAAGTCGCGACGCTTATGTCTCAGGAACTCGAGAAGAGCTTGGCGTTCATGCAGGGTGTCTCAGCTTAAAACTCAGGTTAGATTTCTTTTTTCCTTCTCGTTAGCAAAGATGTCAACATTGAAATCTGTTGGGTTTCACCCTCGCAGGTTCGAATCCTGCTGTTGACGATGGTAAAACAATTCCTCTTGTTACGTGACATCTTTCTTCTGTCAAAGTGGATGTTGCTGTACGAAATGATTCTGCCACTGACGTTTATATTCAAAGAAAGATATGTGACAGAGGACCGAGGATGATCTCAGCTGCCACTATGTGACAAGATTCCCGAGGTAAAGCTATATGCACCTTTGCTTTTCTTTCATTCTATTCGACCTACAGGTAAATCATTGAAACAAGTGATGTTCTCCAAGACTTACTTTCTCTGGTGTGTGTTCCAGGAACATCTATACATTATCTTCACCCCAGGGGCCGCAAGAAAGCTCGAGGCACTCGCTCAGGCCGCTCTGGAAAAGAATGAGCAGCAAAGGACGACTCCCAGCGATCGTTGCCGCCGCCATGTCGCTGACAGTGCTCGTAAGTTTCCAGAAACCACAGGCCTCGCTCGTGTTCGTTGCCGGCCAGGTGATAACCAGATGCAATCCATCGCTGGGAAGCTCCGACTGCTCCACGGACACTTGCTGCGGCCAGAATGGCTACTGCACAGGCTCGAATTGCTGCACGACTCGGAAGTGTCTCGAGTACTACGCTCCTCCAGGCTACTATGACCGCGACTCTCACGACCACGATCACGATCAAAGCTTGTCGGGCAAGAAGAGCTTCGGATGGTGGGTTCAAGCGGCTGCTGGGCTCACCGGCTTGATCCTCATCGTTATACTCATCTGCTGGTTCCTCTCGGTAAGCAAAGAGGCGGATTTTCTAGAAAAAAAAAAGAAAAATCTCTCTTTTCTTAATCTTCGTCATCTTTGTGTTCTTCCAGAAATGCCTATCAAAGTTCTGATCATGATCACCCAAGTACTACCTTTTAACATTGTAAAAAACAAAACGATGAAGAACGTAGAAGAGAGAAAAATATTTCCCAAGTGATGTTTCTTGTGTAATAATTGCTACAGTTACTTTGCCGCCCCGTGATCCTCGTTTTCGTAGAAAAAAGATCTGCTCGAGAAACGCGGTGTGTAAGAATGGCGCACGTGGCAGTGGGCTATTGGGTGGACAGTTACACGCCACAGCCGTTGGATCCAACTGGAGAGCTCTATTTGTTCGCGGCCCATCATGGGCTTCTGTCCCCGACAGTACCTTTAGGGCTCTTCGATTCGATTGCGTTGGGGGGAGAGAGAGGGCTGTGCTACCGCCGGGGCTGTGGCGTGGATCCATCGATCAATCATTCGCTAGCAGCAGCAGTAGCGGTAGCAAGCCCACATTCTTTCCAAATTCGATCTTTTTCTGGGCGGCGCCCGGATTGTTTCGCGCAGGAGGGGATTTCTAGGGCTCTAGCGCCATGGAGTGTGATGCCAAGCTCCTGGATCGAGTCCCCACCGGAAAGCCCCCTTTCTCGCTGGGCGACATCAAAAAGGCCGTGCCCAAGCACTGCTTCCAGCGATCGCTGCTGCGATCCTCGGCGTACCTCCTGGCGGACCTCCTGGGCGTCGCGATCCTCTTCTACCTCACCAGGTTCGTGGAGATCGTAGCGCCGCCGGGGATCTTCCAGTGGATGCTCTGGGGGGCTTACTGGATCGCGCAGGGCTGCGTGGCTACCGGATTGTGGGTCATCGCCCACGAATGCGGCCACCGCGCATTCAGCGACTACGCGGCCGTGGACAACGCGGTGGGATTCGTGATCCACTCGTGCTTGCTCGTCCCATTCTTCTCGTGGAAGTACAGCCACGCCCGCCACCACGCAAACAATGGCAGCATCCATCGCGACGAGGTGTTCGTCCCCAAGGAGAAGGATGGCCTCAGCGCATTGACGCCATTCCTCCAGCACACTCCCGGCCGGATCTTCTCCATCATCTTCATGCTCACGCTCGGCTGGCCGAGCTATCTCCTCCTCAACGTCTCGGGCCGGAAGTACCCGCGCTTGGCCAGCCACTTCGATCCAAACTCCCCGATCTTCAACCGGCGGGAGAAGCTCCAGATCGTGGCCAGCGATCTGGGCTTGCTGGCGGTGTCCGCGGGGCTGATCTACCTGGGCTGGAGCGCGGGATTCGTGTGGCTGCTCAAGGTCTATGGCGTCCCTCTCATGATCGTCAATGCATGGCTCGTGACGATCACGTACCTCCAGCACACTCACGTCGCGCTCCCGCACTACGCGGACTCGGAGTGGGATTGGATTCGCGGCGCGCTCGTCACGGTGGACAGGGATTATGGGATTCTCAACACGATCTTCCACCACATCACCGACACTCACGTCGTCCACCATTTCTTCTCGAGCATGCCGCACTATCACGCCCAGGAGGCCACCGCGGCTGTGAGATCGGTGCTTGGGCGCTACTACTTGTGCGATAAAACTCCAGTCCTGGTTGCGATCTGGAGGGAGTACAAGGATTGCGTGTTCGTGGAGCCGGATGCCGCTGGAGAGGGGATCATGTGGTACAAGAACAGCTTGAGCTCTTGAAGAAGAGCCCATCATCTATGATTATCTACAGGCTTAAGTGATCGATTACTCAAGAAGGATCGATCATTGAAAGAAATCCTTAAAAGAATCCAATTGTCTTTTGGATCTATTCGGAAAATCTTGGTCCTAGAAAGATCTTGTTAAGCTGAAAATCTTGATCCTGAGATTTTGTTCCGAGTATTTCAATCACAGGTGAGATGATTGATAGAGCTTCTTCTTCATGTCCTCTTGTTTACAAGGAGTAGCAGAGCTCCAGCAGCGTTTAAAGCTCAAGGAAGTTGACAAGGCCAACATCCAAAGTGTCTACGCCAACCTTGTCAAAACTTGCATCGCCACCAAGAATTTGAAAGAGGGCAGGCTCTTGCACTCCTTGATTCTCAAAAGCCAGCTCAAGGACGATGCCTTTCTCGACAATCTGCTCATGGACATGTACGGGAAATGCGGCAGCCCCGAGGAAGCGCGCACCATCTTCGACAAGATGGAGAACCCTAATGTGTATTCGTGGAATATCATCGTTACCGCATATGCCCAGGCAGGGCATCTTGACGACGCACGCGCTTTGTTCGATAAGATGGAAGACAGAGATGTGGTGTCGTGGAATGGAATCATTGCGGCCTACTCCCGGCAAGGTCGCGTGCGAGACGCCAATGAGCTCTTTCAGAAGATGCCGGCAAGGAACACAGTGACTTACACGACAATGCTGTTGGGATATACCGAGCATGGGGATCTTGCCAGCGCAATGACGCTGTTTCGCGAGATGCCTTTCCAAAACGCTGTGTCGTGGAACACTATGATCGCGGCGTATGTCCGCCGTAGCGATGTGGCCTCGGCAAAGAAAATGTTTGAAACGATGCCAGCGTGGGACGTCATCACCATGAGCGCTATGATCGCGGCATATGCCCAGGCAGGGAATCTGGAGGAATCTGAGAAGCTCTTTGCGGAGATGCCGGAGAGGACCATCGTGTCCTGGAACTCGATGATCACGGTCTACGCTCAAAAGGGCCTACTGCAAAAAGCAAAGAGAGTGTTTGACTCCATGCCCGACAAAGATGTCGCCTCGTGGAACGCAATCATCAATGCGTATGCCGCGAGCGGGCATTTGGAAGAGGCCAGCCGCGAGTTCCGCCACATGCCACGACGCGACCTCTGGTCGTGGAATATTATGGTCCGCGCGTGTTCCCTAGACGGAGACCTGGAGACCGTCAAGTCAATGTTTGACCGGATGCCGCAGCGGAACGTGGTCACGTGGACCGGGATGCTGTCGGCATATGCTCAGAATGGGCATCTGGCGGAAGCTCGCGCCATCTTCGACTCCATGCCCGACCGAGATCCGGTTGCTCACAATGCGATGATTCAGGCCTACGTGGCAGGCGGGCGTTTGGAAGAGGCGGAGCTCCTGTTTGAGCAGCTGGAACACAGGGACGTGGTGGTCTGGAACACAATGCTGGCGGCTTACACGCCGGCCAGCATTGACCGCGCCAAGAAGCTGTTTGACGCGATGCCTGTGTGGAGTGTTGTTTCCTGGACGACGATGATTGCCGGGTACGCGCAGGCCGGTCAGCTCCAGACCGCCAAGTCAATGTTTGACTCTGTGCTGGAGAGAAACCTGGTGTCGTGGAACGCGATGATCCAGGCTTATTGCGACAGCGGGAATGTTCCACAGGCCAAGGCCATGTTTGATGCCATGCCCGTGAGGGACATGTTCTCGTGGAGTATTATGCTGTCGGGATTTGCCACGAATGGGGAGTTTGATGGAGTGGAGCGAGTCTTTAACTCCATGCCTGAAAAAAACATAGTGTCATGGACGGCGATGGTGTGGGCGATTGCGCAAAACAAGGGAGTGGAGGAAGCAAAGGTTTTGTTCGACAAGATGCCCGACTATAGTGTCGTGGCACTCAATGCAATGGTGGCGGCATATGCCCAAAATGGGTATATCCAGGATGCCAAGCGAATGTTCTATGCCATGCCCGCGCAGGATGTAGCGTCTTCCAATTGCCTCGTTGCAGGGCTCTCGCAAGATGGGGATATTGATGGAGCTAAAAGGCTGTTTGATCGCATCCCCAAGCACGACCTCGTTTCATGGAGCACAATGGTTGGAACATTTTGCAACTATGGCTACAGTAGCGAGTGTCTGGATCTCTTCCGAGCCCTTGAAGCTGAGGGCATCGAGCCTGACGAGATCATATTCGTGTCCACCATCAAGGCTTGCAGCTTCAAAGGTATGGTTGAAGAGGGCTGGAAGTTTTTCCGCTTGTTAACCATGGATCATAAGCTCAAGACGATCAAGGAGCATTACACTGCAATGGTGGATGTTTTGGGACGAGCGGGACGGTTTCAAAGGGCCATTGACCTTATAAATTGCATGCCTTTTGTTCCTGATGTTGGAGAGTGGGGCTCTCTGCTTGGAGCGTGTGTGATCCACCGTAACATTGAGCTGGGACAATATGCGGCTGAGCGTGTCTTTGATCTGGAGCCTGGAAACTCAGCTACTTATGTGCTGCTTGCAAATCTCTATGAGGGAAAAGAAGCTCTGGCTGGTAAGGCATGCCAGAGATGACTATGAGGACATTATAAATTTCTTTGTTTCCTCTTGCTGACGACTTTTTATTCAGCATGGCTATTATTACATGTTTAAGAAAGTAGGAGACCTGGCCAATGTCCTTCATTTGGCATCACTGATTAACATCAGCTTTCAAAGTAGCAATGGCATAGGTCATTGTTATTGATATCACACATGATGTCTGATGTGATTCTTTATGCCAAAATTTGAAAGGTTTATTTCCTTTTTTTTAGAAGGTTTTTTTTTTCTTTTCATATGAAAAGGTAGAAATAAAATTTGTTTTTCAAATGAAAGATAAAAGACAAAAAAAGCTTTCATTCTATTTAATTAAGTAATATATCACCACTTTTTTTATTTTTCATGTTCATTCACACATTAAATGCTTTATCCCAAGAAGTAAATGTAGATTATATGATCTTTTGTTTGAATATAAGAAGTCAAGATACCCACAATGCCTCGTTGTGTTATTAGGGATACAGGACGGACCTATAAAAGAGCTAAGTGAATGAAAAAAACAATAAATAGTATGCTACTGTCATATGGCGTGTTGTCAATGAGAGTTCCTCCAACTCCTCTTCACGAAAAGAATTCACCTGGAAAATTATGGAACCTTTCTTTGAATGTATTTAACTTTTTAGCTTCTAAACAAATATTTACATTTGATAACTAAGTAAATTTGGAAAATAAAAATGTCTTAAATGTATAAAGAATTGAAACTATATACCATTAGAATTTCTTTGATTTTCTTTTTTTTTTCCCCATAGATATTGTAAAGTTTATATGGATTTCCAATACATTCAAAAGCTTGAAGAGCTATTGGAAAAAATTATATCTTCTTTTTGTTTGATTAGTGAGAAAGGACAACATACATGCAACTTTTATATGATCATCTACATATACTATTATGAAATAATTTTCCATATTATAGACTTAGTCTTCCAAAACCTAATAGTTTTACATACCTCTGAAATTAGGTGGTTTCAAGGGCTTGAGGCAATTATAAAACTTTATCATCCTTAAAGTTTGAAGAGGAGTTTGGTTTCTTAAGTTTAGCTAATTTTGTTGCATCAACTTTTTTCTTTTTCTTTTTGTTCTCCTTCAATTTACAAACTTCTTACAAATTCTCAATCTCAATATCTTGAGCTATACACTATAGCACTATAACCTTAAGCTTTTCCTCTTTTGATTTAACCTCAGCCTTTTCCTTAGCATTTTCAAAATGAGTTTCCTCCTTTTGATTTGCTTGTTTAGAGGTTTTAGCACCATGTACAATTTCTTTTTGCCATCTTATCAATTACATATATACATTTATCAATAAGTGAATATGCATATAAGATTCTTATTGGATGATGCAATCTAACTAATCCTACACATGTCACTTTGAATCTATTACAAAAGTCTTTACGTATGCAACTAGAGTTAAAAATTCCGACAAAAGTTGGATAGAAATCATTGAGATAATTTTGATACCAAATATAGTGCACTTGAATTTAAAGCCAAACTTTTAAGCCTATTGCCCTATAAAATAAAAGTTTGGTATGCACTTAATATCCTTTATGAGCACCAACTCCTTATATTTAGCATATGTATGCAAAACAATGTTAGACAAATGCAATTTTGGCATACCAATGGCTTAACATGAGGAGGAGGGTACCCACCAACTAGAGCAATATGAAGCTTAGGCTTAGACTTAAGTTAGACGTAAAACAAAGAGCGACACAGCCTAATAGGAGCTAAATTAATGTCTCAAATGGGCAACTATGTTTTCAACCACTATCTCTATTATACATTTGAAACTACCCATAACACCCACCTCCCCCTTTTGAGGAATGCATGCTTTGGGCTTTACCCCAATCTCAAAAGTTAATCTTTAGGGCAACCTTGACAATTTACTAAATATGGAATGGTGTAGGATCAAAACCATGAGATTTAATACACTTTCTACATTCCATAAATATGCCTCTTGAAAAAATTTAGACACTTACCATAGTATATAGAACCAAAATAGGACCAACACATGAGCCATGATAACAAGGGTGTGTTATAGACATGGTAAATTATCATGTAGCAATATTAAAGGTCTAAACTCAATATCATAAGGGTTCTTAATATTAGTAAGTGCAAACCAATGGTTTGAGTTTCTCAAACTGAGCTAAGTATGCTCAACAAGACATATATAGGATTTTCTACTTTATGTTTATTTGATTTAAAAACACATATATTAATCAGTTTCTTAATTAACTTAAGTGAGAACTATAAAGAAAATAATAATGATATCTTACTATTGTGGCAATAAAGAGAGAATGTCTGTAAGGATTGGTTGAAAAGTATAATTTGATACTTGAAATCACATTCACAACAAATATGCTCTATAATCTAGTGTTATATATTTGTCATCTCTTAGAAGTATATTCATTATTATTGGCTATGACAAGAATCAAATTGCAAACTTATATTTATCTGTTATGCCATTTGAGATTAGTATGTATGTATACCCAAAATAGATTTATAGACTAGTTTAATTTCTAGACAATGAAAGTTATATCAAATTTAATGTTGGAGCAATCTCCACTTATAACCTCAACATATTATTCAACTAATAACAATTTGTTAATTTAGAGTAAAATGTTAGTATGCAAGCAAAACTGATGGCAATTCAACTTCCATAGCTTTTTTAAGTTATGCTCCAAATCACTATGTAACCTAACTAATATTCCACTCTGACTTTTTGTATGGGCTTGAATAAAGTTTTTCTTATTAAGATGCCCCTTTCTTGTTTCTTCACCCTTTCTAAAAATAATGATTATGTTATTCAAGATTTTTAACATCAACATATTTAACAATATTGATCTAGAGTTACCACCATCAATAAATTGTAGTAATGATGCTAAGGCTCTAAATCTACATCTACCTATATATTAGAGTTTTTGATAGTCACCATTAATATTTCATGGGATAATGTAACCCTCAAGGAATATTTCCCACTTGGCTTTCATGACAATGTAAAAAATCTCATGCTTTCTCATTTAAATCCAACATCTTCATGACTACCATTGATTTTACTATTCATTGTGACAATTGATTGCAAAAAAAGCAATTAAAATATCATCATTAAACTTTTGTTTTATAACCCCAATAACCATAATCTGTCTAATAACCCCAATTAGCATATGAACAAGGTGCAATTTTAATGGAGATTGGAGCTACATCTCAATAATGTCTTTCCAAGGCTGAATAAAAATATTAAATTGAAAACCACCTTTACATATATTATCGTGATGCAAACCACTTTTGAAAGCAATGTCCTCATCTTCATGCTCACCCTTAGGCTAATACAACAAATGCAACACTTGTGTTTCTAGAAAACAAAAAATGTTTAGTCTAATTAAAAATTGTTTGACTATACCAAGTATATATACACCATGGATCTACAGAAATTTAACTCCATTATGATAATTTTAGAAGTATTAACTAAAATACTTCTTTAGTGATTGACATCTGGAATGATTGTAATTTGGATTGTATATTGATTTTATTACTTTTTAATATATAAATTTATATACATGATTAAGAGAATTAATCAAAATCCCATTATAATATAGTTTTGGAAGGGTCCGAGGAGTAAGATTACAAGTTTTCTTTTTGAGGAGATCTCATTGGAACCACCCAGTCCAGTTCTTGAGGTTGGTCATTATCACTTCCAGTTGCTGGAGCTTTGTGGCACTTGCGACACAAAAACGCGGCAGAAACGAAGAAGGCACAAGTGGTGACCACTCCGCCCACAGCAATACCAGCACTTACTTTTCTCGTTAGCTTCTTTGCGGGATGAGGAGGAGAAGCACTGGCTGTAACAGCACAAGCTCCACAACATATAAACTCCCTCATGGACGTGGAAAAGTCGCCTCTTGGACAGATTGGAGCCAGGCTGCCATGGAAGTCACAGCTGATAGTCGCATTGGCGAGCTGCAAAATCAAATTTCTCTCAACTGAAAAACAAAACAAAAGTTCCAAAAATTTGTACGTAACTGTCAGAGCGAGAGGAAGAGGCTTTTGCTGTGAAGGATCAAAGTATCGTTTAGATATAGCTTTCTCAACTGTAGGCTGGCCAAGCTCCGCGATTAGCCCATCAGCAAGAACATCTATACGTGCAACTCCAATCAACTGTTGATTTGCATCAAAAGCTGCATGAAATTAAAATAATTACTAAGAAGAAGCAGAGTAATAAATAATAGTACTATACAAACCTGGAAAGATGGAAGTTGTCACATTGCCAAGGCCAACAGAATCGGTATACAAACTCGCCCAAACTGGTTTCTTGTTGACAGCAACAAAGCGAAGCCATGCAATGTAGTCGAAATAGCTGTGGACCTTGAGCAGCGGGTTTTTGTCGTCGTTGATGACCTCGTAGCTCATGTTGAGGCTGCTCTGCATGTGCTGGAAAGTGGCATCGTTGGTTGTGAAGGACCCGATTCTGTAGACAAACACTACAACACCTCTCGCGTTCAGCTGTGCCAAAACTGGGCTCAGTTGGGTGAAGTTGAAATTGCCAGGGGTGACAAACTGTCCATCTGTGAAGAGGATTATGACCTGGGATTTGGAAAGTTGAAGAAACCAATGTGATTTCTTGTGATTATCACACGAAAAGCATCTTACATTCAAGTTGGAGCTGGTGTTGAAGAAATCAAGTGCTGCTTGCAGCCCGTTCTTTATGTTACTGGCTGAGTTTGTAACACTTGTGTTGCTTATGGAATCTTTGAGGGAAGAGATTCCAGCCAGATCCAAAGAGGTTTCCTGGACGCCAAGAACTACGGAAACCTGGATTTCAGAACCTCATGATCAGAAGTTATCCTAGTCTCTGATGAAAAACATAACTGGAGCTCCGATTTTCTCACCACCAATCGTTGACACAGCCACTTGATCTCCATTCGTGAAGGTGTTTAGCAGCCTTTTAATGATGTTATTTGCAACATTAAAGCGGGTTTGGGACGATAAAACTC